AAAGGTCAGCTATATATTTACACAGTCTGACATTAATAGATGGTACTTGGACACGTATTTAATCTTTTCCATTGAAAAAAAAAGTTATCTTGAGTTGATTTCAGTTTAAAAGAAGCACATTGAATCGATTCCAAATGTCCTTTTTTCGAAATGGTAGTTTGTCATTTTATCTTTTCTCCTATTTTTCCAAACAAGCAGAGTGATTGATGAGACATGTTTTAACTTTCATGTTGAGCTTGAATGCATAAACAATATACTGATCCGAATAGGCAAAAAGACGTGTAAAATGTTCAAATTAAGGTAGGATTCTTCTCTGGTTTCTGACTTGATGGAATATTCAAAGTACATTTGTTGATATGTATTATATATTTAGATGTAAGAGATTTGAAAGACCATATTTTTCTTTTCTCGTCACAATTATACAACTTTAAATAGAAATGGTAAACTGCGTTTGAAAACTAGCAGGGACTATATTTTTGGCGGAATGAAAATATCTTCTTTTCTGCCTCTCAAAATTATTATAGTTAAAATTTTTACGCAATCATAGACTAGACGAAATTTTCAAATGTAAGTTAAATTAATAATAAGGGACTTAAGTTTCAAAATATATCAAATAAATAAGATTTTTCACACATACTAGAACTATGTTGGCTTTCAAATGCTTCAAATCTAAGTACAGATTTGAGCCAAAAATCCGTAAAAAGTGTTATTTCTCTCTTAGTAAACGATCAAAACTTTTAGTTTTTGTATCATTCTGTACCTTTATGTGACAACTTTACTGTGTATGTGAAAACTGGAAAAAGTTAAATATATGAAGCATATAAAAATAACTAATAAATCCTTAAAAAAATTAAGAAAAGTAGAGGAAATTCGGATTAGCATATATCCATTTTATTTAAATTATCCATGTCAATTTGGTAAGATCATCTTATAGGCCCTTTATGGTAGTATCTTTTATGCAAATTGAAAAACATTCAATCTCTTGAATTACAAGTAGGGATCGCATGATTGGAAACAGTAATTTTTCATTCTTAATGTCCAGGAAAAAAGTAATGACCTTGACCTGACCTTACCTCTAACATTAAAAGGTCAAATTTAATCTCACTGATACCAACACTTATTGTGAAAATTTCATTAATTTTTAAATACAAGAAATGTGAGAAGAATCCTACCTTAAGAATTTAAGCGTTTAGAGCAAAGATCTCATTATTGAAGGAAATGAAACTTACGACAAATAACACATTTTTGTCAAATACATTTCTCTATAAATATTCATTCAATGGTATTTTTATTATTCAATAAGACAATTATACCAGCACATACGCTAACCAGGGAAGATGTCACAATGGCGACTTCTGTCAAGAGTTTGTACAAAAGAACGAGGTCACAAAACCTTGATATTGGGAAGACGATACTTATGTCTGCTAATTAACGTTGGACTAAGATTATTGGAAGCCAAGCAAAGTAGGTTGGTATTGTCCCCGGGGTCATTACCTTTTCTCTCACCCTCTAGCATATATAATCTTGTTCCTTGTGCTTCCTGTCTGTACATTTGCTTTGTTTTACTACTATGCCAACTTTGAAAGTGATTTATGTGTATACATGTATTAATTTTGCGCGTTGAAATATACACGGTGACACTCACGCCAAACAGACAGTCTTTTTTCATGCCTAAGACTCTCAATTTCTTAAGACAAACAGTAAGGATATAAATAGGCGTGCAAGCACCTTGCATTGCACATTCTAACTTTGTTGTGCATGGTGTATAATCTTTGGTCGTACATGTTCTTGTACGAAAATGATTCTATGAAAAAAATATTCCGTTGAGGTTACATGTATGCTATATATGGTGTATATAGGAGGATTTGCGAAGAAGAAATGGCTATACTTGAACATAATATTATAGAAAGAGTAAATGTACGGCAGGTGTGACCGATTGGCAGGGGATGCTCGCTCCTCCATGGCACCTGATCCCACATCTGATATTTTGGAGGCCCGTATTTGCTCTGCTCATATTTTGTATTGTAATATCTCCTACTAAACAGTCCCTCTATAATTTCTTACTTTAAAGATTCCAACAGTTCGAGTGTTATAAATTTTCCCGGGTTGTCGGTCCAAGAACTTTAAAAATAGATCTAGTAAATAACTTGAGATTATTTTTTGGTGTTAGACCCATTATGACGTCATAATCAATTTCAACTTTCTTTTTCCCGTACTTTACGGCATTAGCAGAATTATGTAGAAAATAGGGTATTTTCATGTCATTCAATTTGAAATCATATGAAAAGTAAACCGGATACCTATATTAAATTTGATATTGATTTAAAGAAGAGGCCATGAACATACTAATTACCGTTTTCTTAGAGACTGTAGGCAATCTGGATACATTTCTTTTGCCGAATACGAAAAAAACTCCTATATTCATGACTGCTTTTCTAAATTTTTCATTAAAAATGACAGTTTAAGATACAGTTTTTCATCTTGTTTACCTACAAATTATGCCCCGAAACACCTGACCCAACTAAAGTTGTAAAGCATCAATAAAGGAATTTATTTCTCAAGTTTGATAAATCTGTAGGCACCTTTCATTTACTAGATCTTGACCTTAAGAAAGACTTTTGCCAGCTTAAGGCGTTATATTTTCATTCGGTAAAGGAGTATTACATTTGCGAATGTTTTCCTTTATATAACACAACTGAAAGCAATGCGTATCTATAACTGTATAAATACATGAAATTCCTCGAACGTCATAAACGTTATTTTCTCATGATGTCATAAAGAGTCGAAGTGCAATCAGTGGATTGTACATACATGCCGTTGGGTTTGAAATATAAAACATTTCACGCCTAAAATGTCATAATCGGGCAAATATAAAATATGAATAAATTCTTAGGAAATTAAAACAATTACTTAATTTTTCCAAGATAAAATAAGGATTAATTAATCAATTAAATTTTGAAGACAACGATAATTCTTCGAAATGTCAGTGAAAATACTTTTAAAAATAATTTAATTGTTTTAGGACACGATGTATTACTTATCATACAATGTGTTAAACCGCATGCATTTGTAATCATGCCTCTACTTTTGTTTTTTTTTTTAACGTCGGAATATCTGGTAAAAAAAAAATTAAATCGCCTATGATTGTTTCGGTATAATAAAACAGTTATGAAATGGGAACCCGGGAAATAGCAAATTGATGGTTCCCCTCGGCAGGAAACTATTTCCCTCGGCGGCTTCGCCGCCTCAGGAAATAGTCTCCTCCCTTGGGGAACCATAAATTTGCTTATTCCTTCGTACCCATTCCATAACTGTATACTATCCACCCTCGGAAAATTTTCATGCAATTTTTGCCGCCAATTTTGATTTCCAGCTATAAATTTTTAAACTGATGATGTCATAATAACTTCAGTTGCATTGTGACATCATCAGGATTTCAGATTATTTTTGCACTATTATCTTCCTCCAAAAAAAAAATTCAAACCTATCATACATCAGTATAATAAAACGGTTATCCACTGGGTGTGAGTAGGATAGCTCTTTTATCAAACCCTTGACAGGAACTATTCCCCGAGGGCTTGGGTGTGAGTGGGACAGTTCTTTTATGATTTTATCAAACCCTTGACAGGAACTATTCCCTGAGGGCTCACACCCGGTGGATAGGTGTATAATATGCCAAAGGTCAAGGCTCAAGGCTTTTCGTCCTCAAATCAGCATTAACGGTCACAAATACCAAATTAAAAGATACATGTAGTTATTGAATTTTCCCCAGTATTAGAGAAAAGGGGAAATATAGTGTCCACTTGGCCCTTTTCACAAAAAATATTACAACTAAGATTAAAATTTGACAACTCTGTTTTTTTTTTTTTGGTTCAATAAAGATATTAGTTCTTAAAATATTATTAAAAATGTAACCTAATCAAATAGAAATATAAGATAATATCAGATACTTGAATTGGAAATTTTTTTTATTTCAGTCGTAAGATTTTTTGTGAAAAGGACCAGAGATATCGCGATGATTTGACATACAATATTTCAGGAAACATTTTCCTTGGAAGCTGGTAACTTATGTAAACTATGTAAAAAGAACATCTTTAAAAAGTTCAAAAAGTGTTTTGAGCATACTTTTAGTTTAATAACTTAATATTTACAATAAATTATCTTTTTTAGAAACTAAATATATATTATCACAGTTCGTAACAATTTCCGGCACTGTTTTTGGTTTCTGGCATTTATTTACTTTCCCTGCAGTTCTTTCTCCCGTTTTATGATTTCCTCTACACCTCGCCTCATTTCTTGGATAGCCTCGATTTCACTCAGTCCCAGGCGGCGCTTGTTGGAGATATCGTACACACCTCCCACACTCTCTGTGTGCTCGCCGTGAATACCTGACCGAAAAAAAAAAACTGGAGTTTAATACAGAGTGTCATAATCAACTAAAAAAAATCATTGAAAAAATAATGATGTAATAATGATGCAGTTTTGTTTGTTTGTTTGTTTTTTTTTGTGTTTGTTTGTTTTGTTTTGTTTGGTTTTTGGTGTGTGTGTGTGGGGGGGGGGGGGTATATCTTGCCATGCTTGTGAAGAGTGTTAGTTTCCTTGCAAATTACATCCGGATATTAAGCCACAAGTGAAGGGAGGCAAATAGAGTTTAATTGCTTAAATACTAAAATAAGTTAATAAAATTAATATAAAATGAATTAAAAACCTTTCACCTTTATATCATTAACTTACATAGACTTCATTGAACATGCCAAATTTAGGGAAAGGCTATCTGAGTGCTGTATAGAATTTAATTACTATCTTACTGATATAGTGTTTGTAAGCATTGGTTACCTCTTGGCTGAAGATTAAGTTTCTCGCAGAAGGCTTTGAAGTCGGGCTCGGCAGACAGTTTGGGGATTTTGATGTGGACGCTGGCTCTACAGGTTGTTCCTAAGTTTGTGGGACAGAATGTCAGGTAGCCAAGTTGATTGTGATGAGCAAAGGTCAACTTTTTCTCCATTTCCTTGATAGCCTAGAAAACGATAATAATATTTTACTCTGTAAATCAATTGCTTGCACATAATTACACACGTTAAAGCTTTTTCTTAAGGTAGGTCGTGGGTTTACTGCATAAAAATTCTTACGAGAAAACATATCCTGTAAATTTTATAAAATGTTCCTTAGAATTCACAGCGTATATTCTGCGATTTTTATCAAATTTGCCTACGTAGTTTTAATGCTATATTACTGTAAACGCGGTATTGTTGTTAGTAATTTTTTTTACGTTTTACTATTGAAATGTATGGGAAAATGACGTTTTAAGCCATTTTTGTGAAAATAGTTTCTTTTAAAAAGGTTGGATAATTTTTTAAAGACGTAGACGAATTAGTCAGAAATTTCAAAATATCAAGATGAGGTAAAAACAAAACTATTAATATAAAAAAATCAACATGTCTTCTCGCTAGATTTTTTGCTAAATAATTTCAAAGTTTTCTTTTATACTGCTAAAATGTTGCGTTTATGGCGTTATTTATATCTACAACGTCATCTGTTGAAGTTGAACGTAGTTACATTTACAGTACGAGTATAAATATATCTTGACCTTTAGAATATGCAAAATTTAAAAAGTGACATAGATACAAAGTTTTATTTTATTTATCATTTAATTTATTGCGGAGACAAATTAGGATGACTAGCAACTTATCGGTATTTTCACTAGTATTGTGAAATTCATACTCTGATCACAAAGTCTGAATAGACGGAATAATATGGAACGCCGTCACTGCCTTATATAGCAGAACACTACTATTGCATTGTGTCAACCTTCCTTACATTATGTCAACTCTTTATGACATTAACCCACACTACTATTGCATTGATATATATCTTCCATTACATTATGTCAACTCTTTATGACATTAACCCACACTACGTGTTAACCTTCCTTTACACACACACTCTTTATGACATTTACACATACTACAATTTTATTTCGTCAACTTGCATTTCGTTATGTTTACTTTTCATGACAATCTTAGTTTTTATTAACTGATGTGAAAAGCTCATGTCATACTGTGCGCACTCTTCTACATTATGTCGATTCACAATTACGTTATGCGAACACGGGTATCCTCGGCCTTTATATGAGCATAACGTATTTTCCGCGTTCCGCAAGCACTAAAAATGGCGGGAGGGAAATTACTTCGTGAAGAGAAGATAGCGATTTCGGAATAACATCTTTAAATGAAAACTTTAAGCGAAAATGATTGACAATCTTGAAACATGCAAAGCCTTTACACTGCGACTGTGAATTAAAGTCACGTCGAAATTCAATGGTGTTTACTTTAATCTGATAATTAAATAAATCAAATATTATGAGTCGTGCAGCAATCTTTTTTTAATTTTTATTTTGAATTGTTTTTTTATATATATATAAGTCTTAAACTTTGTATGACATTGCATTAATTTTACATTAAGTTTAGCTGAATTAAGTTGAAAACTTTTTTCTATAAAACTATAAAGCTTGAGAGTTTCTCCGCTTTCCGTCCTTGGTCTCCAACCATATACTGATATGTGCCCATGCATGCTTACTAAGGCATATTCAATTGATTTAGATGAGCGACTGGTAGATTTTTGTAATAGAATTCTGGCCCTGGAATGATAAAAAAATTACTAACTCCAGTGACGTAGCATCTTTTTTTGAAAGAGGAGGTCAGCCAGAAAACTTGACAAGCCAAGAAAAAAAAAGTCCAAGCCCGAAAATCTTATTTCGGGGAGAGGGTCCAACTTCAATCAGTCCCATTTTTTCCCAGATATATTACATTACCCTTAGTGGATTATACTTCAACAAGAAGTGGGGGTGGGGGGCTGTACATTTTCAATGAACATTACATTTTCTATAGTAAAGTTATGTCTGGGAAAAGAGGGGGGTTGATTTTATGTGCCTGTAATTTGTCCTAATCAATCAGGACCCCCCCCCCTCTTACCAGTCATTAACACACGGTCGTCAACATTCATTATATACTAGATATACAGCTTTGAGATAATGTAAATGTATTTTAACATCAGGTAATGAACTTTTGGAATCAACATGATAAAGAGTTAACACAATATAAAGATATTTTTAAATCACATAAGAAAGAGTTGACATAACGTAATTATATATCCACATAACGGAATGGAGTTTTGACATAATGTAATAAAGTATTGATATAATATAAAGATATGTTCACATTATGTTATACACTTTTTACACCACGTAATAAAGCACTGACATAAAGGTAAGATGTGTTCACCTCTCATCATGATGCCCTCGCCGTAAAATAAAGATAAATCCATATCACGTAATAATGCTTTGATATAATAGAAATATACACTCTCAAGGAATGGGCTTTTGACTTCATGTAATAATAAGTTTAATTATAAAACACGACTTACTTGACGTAATGCAATGTTGACCTCACATATTAAAGAAATGAAATGATGTAAAGAAACATTCATTTCATGTAATAAAGTTTTAACACAATGTAAACACATTATCACTTCACATAATGAATTTTTTACTTCAAGTTACGAAGTGCTGACATAATGAAAGGATGTATTTACTTCATGTAATGCAGCATTGATATGATGTTAAGATATATTTACATCATCTCATAAAAAATGGACATAACGTAAAGATATGTTCACATCACGTAATTATAAATTGACTTAATAAATGCATAGTTGTATGCTATAAGGCAGTGATGGCGTTCAATAGAATAAACATTCCTCGTGCATGAGAATTAAACATACAGCGACAACAACGCGAGTGATAAAATATTTGTACCTTTATTTAAAAAGGAAATTCATGGTCAGTAGGATTTCAGGCATGACACAAAAATTTGATCACTTTTTTCGAAAACGGTAAGAAAAACATCCCGATAGTGAGGAAATAACCCAGGGGAGGGGAGGGGGAGTACCTGCAACGTTCTTTCTATGTTAGTCGCAAGCTATAGTATATGTCCCTAAATCTCAAACATTTGTTTCTTTCGAATTCTCTGAATCAAATTTCAATACCCAAAATGGAGAACACTTGCATTTAGCTTTTACACTTTGAGCTTTTTGTTATAAAAAAAATATACAGAAAAAAATGATACTTGTAAATTGTTTACAGTGACTTACAGGTCTTACAGTCCAGGTGTTCGTATAAATTTGATTTTAAAATGCATTTCACAATTTATTAGCCAGCAAAACAATGTAAATACACGAGCTTCAAATACATAACAACCAAACAATAATGACAATGATGATGATTTTAAAAAACCTAGAAAGTACATATAATTAAATTTCACCTGTTTTTAGTGATGAGGATTGATTCCATCCTGAAAAGTATAGGCAAATTTTTGCCCCGGCTTTGATTGGCAGTCATGATGCAATACGCATGTTCACCTGAGTTTCAAATAAGTGCTCACATACACCCCCCCCCCCAAGTTTTCCGCTAAGCAATTTTCATTCATGATAACTTTTTTTCTGCATACCATAACTTTTACACTGATTTATTCTGATTGACTTTTAATTACCAGTTTATAAATTATTTCTTTCATTTGGTTTTGTATTTAATTAGTCCTGAGATATTACAAATAATCACATCAAGATTCAGACTAAAATTTAATTATAAAACATGTACATGTACGAGGTTTACGTACAATAGCATGCACTTTGTATTAATCTACTTGATTCGTACAGATTTGAAGTCACTTGCAGAGAATTAAACGGGAAACAACGTAACGTTGCCTTTGTGACGTAACTGACGTTATAATCAAATGTGCACAAAACAACCGCTCGAATCGTCGAAATTGTGTACCAAAATTGATGACAAAAGCAAACCCGCGACCTACCCTAAGTATATTTAATTTTTTTCAGTGCGTGTATACAGTGATACGTATATACATTTCCTAAATTGGCACGCAAGCGAACAAAGTAACAGTGTACTATTTGATTTCTTGTCTTATGTTTAGGTCCAATTATTATTGAGTGTAAATTTGATCCTGATTAGTAATCACTCCATAATGAGGAGGTATTGGTATATATTTCCATTTCTTATTTTTTCTCTCTGTGATGACTCTTTGAAAGTTAGCGGAGTTAATTCCTTGATAATTTTACCGAAATGTCAATTAGACAGGTCAATAGGTCAGGAGCTCCTAGTATGCATGCAAATCTCGTGCACATCTGTCTCTGAGTCTGACGCTAAGGAGGCCAAATATGCATGAAAATTTCGTTGTGTTTGACGTCAGTGGGCGAGGACTATTGAAATTGGGATGGGAATCCTCGTGTAATTTAAATCTATGTCTGCATTTTTAAAGTCTAAATCTACAATTTTATTTCACAATGAAATGGAAATATATGGAATCACTGTCTAGTTAGTATAGTATGCCAGGGACATCAACGATAGTGGGAAACATGGGATAATTAATGCATAAAAGGCTTCGCCCGTTATGCAAATTATCCAATGTTTCCCACTATTGTTGATGCCCTGGCATACTATACTAACTAGACAGTGATTCCTTAAAACTGTTAGTAAATCTATCGTACTGTGATGAGCCGTTTGTACACGGCTGCCAGATCCCCGCCCTTCTGCATCGAGATCAGACGGAGATGGTCCTCCTCATTCACCCAGCACAGGAAGGTTTTGTTGTCATTGAAGAAGATTCCTCTGCCAATCGGCCAATCGTTGTATCCCCCGGCATCCTGCAGGAACCTAGGGAAGCAGAATCAATGTAATACCACGTCACCGTACATATGTATACAGGTACATGTATAGCTTACACAGGGAAAAGTGGCTCACGTGATATTCATGCCCTTATCTTTCTTTTTTAAAATTATATGAAAATCATGTAAGAATTATATAAATATTTTTTCATGCGCATTTTATGTGAAAAAAAATTATATGATTTTTACTTATTTTTTTTTAGAACTTTCATGTGAACTTTTCTTTGCACAGTATTTATGCGATATGCTCTTAATATAAAATTCATATGAATATTATGTCAAAATTGCTTTAAATTTTCATATAAATTTCAATATCTTATTTCTTGTCTCTTTCTCCTTCTAAGAATATAAAATGTGAGCCACTTTTGCCTGTGTGCCAGTTCTTTTTATGTAATCCATATTGCAAGCTGGGAAAAAATAGCAAAAGGGGATTTCTGACTTCCATTGACTTATAATAGCAAAAGTCGTATGTGTACAATTATTTTGGAAAATAGTGCAATTCTCTGTTATCATTGGACTTAAGTAAGGAGGGGCATTCTCGAAGTTACATAAATAGCGTCTGAAATTTACTCAGCCTTTCAATCACTGTTGATCGTACACAGGATAGAAATTCGGGCGAATGTTCAGGAGTATAGCAATAATCCAATTACAGCTTTCGTACGGCAAAGAGGTAGGGCTTTAGTCACCTCATCCTTGTCAACAATAATGTCTAGTTCCTGATGTTTTTAAATTCTTCATCAATGAGAATTTGAGAAACGCTATTTACGTAGGTTCGCGAATGCCATGCCTCACTGAAAGTCCAAGGATGACAGAGAATTGTACTAGGTCCGTGGGGATTTTTATGGAAAACAGCGACCCACGGGCTTATCATGAGAAACAGTATAGCATGGAAACGGCGTCCCACGAGGCATAGCATCGACGCCTTTTAGCAAAGAAGCAAAGACTCTAGGCAAGTTTTACTTCACTCAAAACCTCTTTTTAATTTCTCTCGCAGCCCAGCAAGTGCAGAAATTCCTACCTGTCATCGTTTTTGAACATGAAGTGGTCATCGATGAGTTGTTGGTTTTCCTCGGGGGTCATGGTTTCTAGGGAGTAGTATTTCCCCTTCAGTTCCCCTCCCAAAGTATTCAGAGCGTCCACAGAAATTTTCTCCATCTCCTTACGTTGCTGAAAAAAGACGAAATTCTGAAACAGTTCAAACTGGGAAGATTTCTTAACATGCCGTAGAAGGTTAATATGTTGACGGTGCGACCGTTATGGCGAGCGCAGATAGCCTATTTATTTTAATTTAGATCGGGCTCGTCAAACTGCACGTGACATTTGGTGCGTCTAAACTCTGACGTCATATGACGTCTTATTGAGAGTTAAATTTCCAAAAAAGAAGCCTGAACAGTGCTGAAAGTAAATGAAGAACGTTTCGTTTACTATTTATCATGTTTATCTTCAATATTTTCCCATTGAATCAGGGCATGTTTACTTTTAGTTGAACTTTTGCTGCTATTCTCGCGAGAACGTAGCTTTAACAAGTGATGCATTGTGGGTCCAAATTACTGCGTCAAAAAATTCTATCGAATGAATGTGCAGTAGTCCGAATTTTCTCTTCGCACAGGCGTTGCTTTAACTTGAAAGTAAGTTTTCTGTGTGAATTTCGATTAAAGCGACCTAAACCAAATATATTAAGCCCTATTTACTTGCCACATCTTACAAATCAGATCGTGTAAATAGGAAAGTCATAAGACAGACATGAAGTCAGATGGAATAGAGACATGCTCTATTCCGTCTGGCAAGTCAGATATTTGGATTTTTCCCGCACTTCTTCTCCAGATAATTCAATATCAGTTAATTTTATTGATTTCAATTAAAATGTGGGGGGAAATCCTGGAAGGACATTTTCTATTGCTTCCTCTCCATTCAAAATGGCTGGAAATATGAGAAAAGTACTGAAATTAACTGTACAGAACAGACTGAAAGATTAGTAAAACTATTTCAAGAAGAAGTAGATTTGTTAAAACACCAATGGCTATTAAACTATCATCATCCATCACTGTGAAATGCAAACAAAAAAAATTGGAGGGAAATAATGAACTCCATGTCTGACAACCCATACCGTGTAAATGAAACACTGGAGTCAGATGTGAAATCACATCTGAAATCACATCTTACGGGTCAGACCGTGTAAATAGGGCTTAATTAGCCTACCTCAGCATTGCACACTGGGGGAAATCCAAAACTGGCGTGACTGCGCCCGACCCTGACACGGGTGGACACGATGTACTCTCCTGAGGGGTCAAGGTCACCAAAGCCGAGGTTGTTGAGATCGCCGAAGTCTGGCTGTGGGTGCTTGACCTCGCTGACCTTGTGGTAGTCCTGAATGACGGGGAATAGAACCTCTTTAAACACATCGTAAGCCTCGGGATCACTGGCGTAAATTCCACAGCCGCTATCCAAGTTTTTACAGCCTGTCAAAAGACGAGACATTACAGACTGTAAATTAACTACATATTACAACCTTTAAACAAATGACATAACCTGTAAACCACTAATTTTCGTGGGGGTTAATTTTTGTTGTTTTCTATATAATGGAAAGAAGCCACAAATTTATCGTCTACCACAAAATGTCATTGACACATGTACATAACTTCTCTACAATTCTTCATCCACGAAAATAAATCCCAACGACCTCTCGAAAATAAGTGATTTTACTACAAACAGCATTATTGTAAATTGTAAGTAAGCAACATATAAAAACCTGCAAAAACGACATAATTAGATAAAAGTAAACGGTCTGTACATAAACGACATGTTACAAACGACATAATCACTCGGATATTATGGCTTCTAAATATGCAAAATACAGCCAGTAAGCAAACCCTTAACGACATTATTCCTGTAAATATACAGCATAATTACAGTCTGGAAATAAAAGTCCTGTATTATAACTTATTATAACCTTTAAATATACAACATATTTAAACTTACAGCCTAGAAACGACATTTTACTAAAAGTATACATGTATTATATATGCAAATTTTATCTCTAATATAGTCTATTTTAAAGTTGTTCGTTCCTTCAACACAAGCCAATGATAGAGAACTTCGTTGAGATATGCTCTAAAAATAAAATCAAATAAATGATAAAAATAGTTTTAAAATTGTTCAATTAAGAAACTGATCACGGCTTAATAAAACGTCCCTGTGCGCAGGTGCATCAAGAAACACCATAGAAAGTTGATATTTCTACTTCGTGGTTTAATTTCTAAAAATTAAACTCCCACGAAAATTAGTGGTTTCATCGTATTTTCAGGTTATGTCATTTGTTTAAAGGTTGTAATAGGGTAAATCATTTAGCACACGATTATGACAAATACAATAAAATATGCATATGATTTTAACGAAGTATTTAAAAGAGAAAGGCGAATTTGGTTCGTAATCAAACGTATTTCGTTAAAGCCAATGGGAATAAAAAACAACTTATCTCCTATTGTGCAGACAACAGTTTCAGTGTACATGGAATATTCACAGATGCTTGTAGACAAGAACCCCCCCCCCCCTTGATATACACCCCGGGTGAAGGGTTCCAAAGATATTTTTATTCATCTTTTTTCATAAATTTATCTTCTACTACACATATACATTGTATTCCTTATCACTTAAGAAAAATTCAAAAAATAACGTAGAATTCAAGTTTTATTAAAAAATCATATCCTCGATATTATAAAACATAAATGCTCAATGAATGTTATTGAAGATGAAAAACACACACTTTTTGAATGTTTGAGTTTTGTTACAGAACGAGAGAATATGATTAATGTTATACAAAGACACTGTATCAATTTTTCTCATTTAAATAATGAAAATAAGTTGTTGTGGGTTCTAAATTGTGAAAATATTGAAGTACTTTCAGCTGTTTGTGAACTGGTTAGATAAGCCATATAAAATACTGATGCATATAATGTGGCATTTCTCTTTATAATAATAATAGGTACATGTAAATTTTTTTATACTCAGAAAAAAAAAAAAAAAAAAAAAAACACTATGTACTGAATTAAAAAAAAAATCTGAAGTTCTTAAATCCCCTTGTGAATTGATCAAGGGTGCAATATAGTGTGTCTTCTACATGTATAAAGAAATTAAAAAAAAAAAAAGATTGTATACTTCAAACACTTAATAAATATTACTTTGGTCATAAGACATGCAAACAAAACATGGTGAATTATTAAGTACCAATGCACTGTCCCGTGGTATCTTTTGCAATTTAGTGGAATATAGCTACTCAGTATGTATGTGTGTGGACATGTATATATATATATATATATGTGTGTTTGTTTGTATGTGTTGGTATGTAAAAAAAAAAATGTATACATTTTTCATTTCTGTGTATGTATATCTCTGGCTTTTTTGCATTATGATACGCGGTGGTACTTCTTTATATTTTACAATATGTATTTAAACTTCACATGTTAGCAATTATTTCAACTTATGAACCATGTGTAAATTGATTAAGTATATACAAGTACTAAGAACACATCACACCTTGTTAATAACTACAGTGGTGTGCCAAAAGTGAAGATAATTTTATTTTTTCTTTATATATTTCATTGAAAACAATATTTTGTAAAATCGCTGGTATGACAACATTTCTTGATAGATTTTATCAAAAATTTCTTGATAATCCAAGATATTGTTGTAGTTAAAAAAAACAATAGTTTTTATCTGATAAGCATTGATAATTTAAAAATATTGTAATTTAAGTGTGACATGAATTTTTAAGTCATATACTCACAATGAGTTATATAGTCAACATTGATCTTGAATTTTAGAACTGATGTTTAGTGATGAACTATATTTTACTACATATTAAACGTGTAATGATCTTTTAAAGAAAGATAACTACACATTTTCTGGTTTAAGTACTGAAATAAATAATTAAATTGGACAAAAATTGACCATTTACCTATGATTTTACAAAATGTTGTTTTCAATGAAATATATAGAGAAAAAATAAAATTATCTTCACTTTTGGCACGCCACTGTAATAGTGTATTATATGCTCTGTTTAATAATCATGTATGTAATATGCCCACAAGGGCCCTGATCTGGAATAATAAAATCTATTCTATTCTATTCTATACAGAGGGTACAGTACTACAGTCTTCACCAAATCTTTTTCTCAGTACATGCCCTTCGGGCATTTTTAGCATTATACACTAGCCCGAACAAATATCTACATGCCCAGAAATTTATCAAGTAATTTTATTCTTATTTGCCCTTTCACGCCAAGGAAATGATACAAAATCCATTTCTATCAATGAATCTATTTCTTGCCCTTTATATTGTTTTTAACCTTTCATTCCTAGAATGAACTGTCTCTAAAAATTTCTTTTGCGCTTCACTTAAGATGGAAAATAAAAGACTTTTAAGTATATTTAATGTTATTGGTTTTTTAAAATTGATAATATGGAGACATGCCTAAGAATTTACATGCCCTTCGGGCTTATAAGTGTACAGTTTCCACATGCCCGCTTCCATATTTTACCAGATCAGCTTTGGGCCCCAGGACTTGGTGAAGACTGAGGGTATGATTTTTTTTTATTAAAACGTGAATTCTGTGTGTGTTTTTTTTATTTTTCAGATGGAACACAATGTAAATTTGTATAGTACGGAAGAAAAATTCAGGACAATGTTATTTTACTAGCCCAGTTATCCCCATACATTGGCATACAAAGTTCAAATTTAATGAATCGTCTTCATAAAGTTAACATGAATCAGAAATAGAATGAATTTAGATTTTCACAAAACACGGAACTGACAAGGCTACGAAAGGGACTTTTAAAAAACATCTTTTAAACAATATTTTTTTTTTTCACGAAAATTGTTTGAACAACGGAAGTAGGCTATATTGGGCACAACCAAAATGAATTTTTTAAAAACTTAAAAAATTTGGAAAAATTGTGGGAGTTTTGTTTTAAAATATATTTTCTTTAACTAGGGTCTAAATACCTATTGAAATAAAAAAGCTGGTAACATGTATACCTGACTGTATGCAATGGAGAAGTGTTCCACCAAACTTTGTTTTCTTGTCTTTGAGCTGCTCGTAAATCTCTGGAGTTAAGTGTTTCTTCAACAGGGATTTGCAGTCGGTTGCATTTTTCAGTTTGTTCCACAGTTCTTCGAGAGACATCTTTGAAATTGTTATGAATTTGGGGTGATCAACAAAAACGAACCACACAACAAAAACAGCAACGAACAAATAGCCTTTGTTGACGTGCGTCGTTAAGATACGATGTCGTTACGTCATCAAAATGAAACGTCACAGTGGGGGATGTTGCAGTGGATATTTCCCTGAATGATGGATAATATGGCAAAGGCGCTCAGGTTGAAGATGCTGTATTTCGTTTGTCTATTATGTGTCTGAATGCACTAAAACAAAAATAAGATAAAAAATGAAAACTTGCTGAAAAATGAAATTTTCTTTTATTTAGATCTTCGGTAAATCAATGTGATTATTTTGAACATATTTTATTGTATAATTTATATACAAAGGGATTGGTTACAAGTTCTTACAACTTAGAAAAAAACTTTCCCTGTAATATATACAATAATTATGATTAGAGATTGCCAAAAGAATTATTAACAATTGAAGGCGTAAAGTTATATACATGATGTATACAAAAATACTTACTTAATGTGATTTTTAAACATGCCGTAATTTCATCGGTTATACATATTTCAAAAAAAAAATGATAAATCACTGATTCAAATGAAATTTTCTTTTATTTAGATCTTCAGTTAATTAATATGATCTTTTAAAGGTGCTATAATTTAATCGATTTTTAATTTGATATTTATTTCAATGTTTGTATTCAGACAAATCTTTAAGAAAAAAATACACAAAATTAAAATGTACTATCCTGACACCAAGCGCCTATGGATAATGGATGATCGATGTTCCAATACAATCCAAAATTCATAATAATAAATCGTGACCCGATGTTTATTCAAACACACATTTATCGTAGTTAGGTTGTGCTGGATGGGAGCAGATAAGGGCAGGGGATTGGGTGTTACTATTTCTGATAAAAAATGAGAATTAAGTTTCCAACCAAGTAATCAAATTCACACAGGGAAGGGCGGGGCTATAGATCTTTTCACTTTCATCTCAGTTTCTTTTTTTTAAGCATTTGGGAGAAAGGGGGGAACAAAAGGGTACTTTGAACATTAAATCAGTCCAACAAAATATTAGCCATATGAAATACTCTTCGAAAATTGCCTGGAAAAATATATCTATGTGGATTTTAATAAAAATTTACACGAATGTCTGGCCGGGGCGGGGGTCCTTTTTCTATATATATCTCCTCAAGGTCCGGGGGTCGATCTTATTCCTTTCTATAAAATTGTCCTCCTGTTTGAACAAATAAGATGATATACATTTTATTTACATGTTAAGGGCATGTGCACCAGGCTTGTATCGGCGGTGTTTATAGCATAGCAGGAACAAGCCCAAGCAATTTGATTATAAAAATTATGGTTTATTACAAACTTCATCCTCATGCATGTGCAGGATCAAAATGCATCCAAGAATTTGTAAGATCTCAGAAATATTCATTGGTTTTGACAAGTACTGATTAATTTGCAAAATATACCTTAATTCAAAGTCAAAATGTATTTTAATTTGAATTTTATAATGATTTAAGCTTCGATATAGTGATTCCTCAATCTGCTGTAGACATGATCATTTTTATGCATAAAATCACGAATTCATTGAACTTGAAAAAGATACTATATTGTAGATTGTATTCCCCATAAATTGAACCCAACTTGTGCCAAATAATAAGTCGTTTCAAATGCATACCTCATGTACATTCTTTCAGCATCAAACCCAAAGTTCCTTTAAATGAAGTTCTGGTTACTTGTGCAGATCTGAGAGGTCTCAATAACATTTTGTGAAAAACCAAATAAAGCTTGAAGCCTTCAATATCTCACAGGTGTTTATAATATAGTACGGAAAATATTAAACCTTATTCAAATCTGCACTCCGGCTTTGTATAACGCATACTCGTCTGTTTCTCATTCGGCATATACTGGAGTGCCAAGCAGTTAATTAACCCAGGTGATTATAATACTATAAAACGTTTATGTAACTTCATAGATAAATTCTTTAAGCCGAGAAAACAAAGCAAGGGACTTTAGACAATTGAAAAAGAATTGTGAAAAATTGTATTGCTTGCGACAGTAAATAAATACACGCAAAATGAAATCTAAGTGCCATCCAAGAATTACGTTCCAAATAGTGAACACAATATCTGTAAAACATCCCAGCTATATAGAAAATCAACAAGAATTTCTTATGGCAAATGGGTATTCAATTCAGCACACACTTTGACAGAAATGTTTTCCTTTAATTTATCCTCAATCACTGTTAATGAAATGGAGATAATAGTGAGAGTTACCTCCCTTGTCATAGACTAGATTCAACATGAAGAGAAAACAGAAGTCGCACATAAAGGAGTTGTAAACAATTTATTAATGTTTCTATATTAATTAACAACAATATGGAATAGGAAAAAATTTCACACACAACAAAATCTGGGTGTGGTCATCACAGCTGGCCTCCCGGGGAAAAAAACAGTTCCTAACGGTCAACTGTAAAATATCACAGCTATAGGAAAAACTTAGCAAGCCAATCCACTAGTTACACAACTAGAGATCTACAGTTAAACAAATATATAGCAAACGGTTTGGCACCTGGAATAAAAAACGATCAAAATGATCTTTTCCTTTACTAAACAAGCAAACAAGTCAAGATTTCATGTATAGATACAAGTCTTATCAAAAAAAAAAAAAATCTAATGTTAGACACAAAATAACTTAAACAAGTACCACAACCAAAATATAATTAAACCTTTTTTCATCTGAAAAGAGTGACAAAAAAAATGCCTCTAATTCTCTGAGATTTCTCTTTATAAAAAAAACTGGATAACATTTAGTACAACTGCACCAATAACAAAGTCTGTCACAAGAAAGAAAAAGCCAACGCGGCCCTGGACTCTGGGAGATTGCCAGCGAGACTCGCACCCCGACATAGTTTTGGTCACACGGAGGGAAATGTTTATAGATGGCGCTTATTTAGCATTCTACTCGGCTTCGATGATCTGCTTGATTCCGTTGTACATTTCCTGCATAGCCTGGAATTCAGTGAGACCCAGACGACGTTTGTTTGAAATGTCGTAAACACCTCCTACACTTTCTGTGTGCTCACCGTGGATACCTAAAGAGAGAGAAAAAAATTAATTTTAAAAAAAATCTATTTTGAAGTTTAACAACTCAATTTGGAAGTTCTGTGGAATTTATATATATCACTGATTTATAAATCTGCTGTGGTTTCTCCACCAAGAAATGTACGTTTCAACCTCATTTCAAAAAATTTTATAAAATGATAAATAAATTATTTCCTAGAAATTTTTTTTGTCAAAAGTATGTATCCATCATAAAAATATCAACACAAAAAAAAATTATAAAAGACTTTCACAGCATGACATTTTTCTAACCAAGTTTTTTTTAAAATGGAGAAAAAAGGTTGTTTAGATGAAAACCAGTCCACATTATTTATTTACCTCTGGGCTGGAGTTTGTTGTCTTCGCAGATCTTTTTCAGGACTTCCTCGTTCTTTGCGAGTTTGGGGACCTTGATGTGGACACTGGCACGCAGTGTTGTTCCTAGGTTGGTTGGACAGAAGGTCAGATAACCATGTCTATCACTGTAGGCAAACTTCAGGTTCTTCTCCAGTGATTTAATGGCCTGTCAATGACAAAAAGAAAAAATTAATATCAAACCTACACAGAAAATCAATAGGGCTTTACACAGTCAAACACACAATGGCACATTCTAAATAATTTGCACAATTCAAATTCAGGTTGCCAAACAATGTCTACTTCAAATTAAATCTGAAACTTGTAAATGCAAATTGTGAGCTATATACAGAATTTCAGAAAGTGTTATGGCCCAGTCTACACAACTGTTTTCCAGTTGCGCAACATGCACCTAGATAATTCCCTTGATGGCCCCGGAGTTAAATTACAAGGGAAACAATCCTTACACAAGACTAGTATAATTCTTTATAAATTTAGAATTAATCAAGAAAGTTCCCTGCTTAATGTAAATATTTCTATTAAACATGGAAAGAACTTATTGGTTTACTTATAAATACCAAAGCTCAATAAAATGAATTTGTCATATCTTTATAAACATAAATACACATAGTCTTCTCTGAGAAAGTGATAAATCTAAATGTTACCCCCGTTGTCTGACTTACCGATACTAGACGCCTGTAGACCTCTCCCACATCACCACCCTTCTGCATGGAGATGAAGCGGAGATGATCCTCCTCATTAATCCAGACCAGGAAGGTCTTCTTCTCGTTGAAGAAGATACCTCGGGCCTTGGGCCAGCCGTTGTATCCACCAGCATCTCCCAACATCCTAACAACGACAAATAAACGACATTATTTACTACCAACATCCTAACAACGACAAATAAACCACATTATTTACTACCAACATCCTAACAACGACAAATAAACCACATTATTTACTACCAACATCCTAACAACGACAAATAAACCACATTATTTACTACCAACATCCTAACAACGACAAATAAACCACATTATTTACAACCAACATCCTAACAACGACAAATAAACATTATTTACTACCAACATCCTAACAACGACAAATAAACCACATTATTTACTACCAACATCCTAACAACGACAAATAAACCACATTATTTACTACCAACATCCTAACAACGACAAATAAACCACATTATTTACTACCAACATCCTAACAACGACAAATAAATGACACTACTTAATCCAGCATTCTAGTAACGACAAAAAAATGACTTAACTTAAACCCAACATCCTAACAACGACAAAATAAGGACAACATTACTTACATCCTACATCCTAAGAATGACCATGATGACCAAAAAAAGAACTTTAATTCCAATTTCCAAAAACACTTTGTTAAATGGAGCATATGTGTTAAAGTTTTACATATTGATCACAATGTTTCTTATCGACTGGATGTTTGATTTCAATAAAAGAAAATTCTACTTAATTCAAACATGCCAACTTTTGAAAATTCCCATGGGGGATTTAGCGCGTGACGACAATTTTCAAAGCTTTAAATTCGCGACATTTTGCCGTGAAATTGAATGATTATGAAATTATCTTTTTTTTACATTTATAATATTGATATTACTTATCAATACAACTTTTAAGGATTAATTTAACACAAAAAATAATGTTTTTCTTTCCAAAATTTAAATATTTTTGCTAAAATAGGTGCCTCTCTCACTAAAGAAGGGGTATTTTGTTACATTTTTTTTCTACCATGACACATAATTTGGTAAAAAATTGAAAAATGTACAACTTTTAAATCATTTTTTTCAAAGGCAAAAAAATACTCAAGGTTTTGATACTGTAAAATCCCGTTTCTGGAAAAAAAATTGAGATTTTTTTATTAAATTTCAATTAATTAAAAATCTAATAAGATATTAAATTTACAGAAATTTATACCACCTATCCAAAAAAGAATAATTTTTGTTACAGTCATAAAATTTGTCAGGCTTGATGGTGCCATGTGGGTATTTCCTTAAGCCATGCACATACCTAACATTTTACTTTTGGGAGAAGGGAGGGAAAAGAAATTCTAATTGACATACACTTGATTGTTTCATCTTAATTTTTTCAGAATATTTTAACTGGCAAACTTTACAATATTTTTCATTATAGGTAGATAAAATCAGCAGCTATGCTTTATAGTTTCCTACTTTCGTTTTCAAAAAACGATCTCTTTGGATTCCGATTTTATGGTTTGATTAGTATTTTATTGTCTTTAATTTATGTTTTTAATAAAATGACTAACTGTTCTCAGATTAATTTATGTGTTTCATCTTGCATACCCCTTAAAACTGACAAGATAATCCCCTAATTGTCCCAAGCTATAAGCTACTTGTACCTGGACAACTTCGTGCGTTCAAGCGTGAAATGATTTCCTGTGGCTATAGGCCTAATTTACACCTGGTTAAATAAACAATGAAACTTATCTGTGTGCATTGAATAAACAAGTCTGACATTGTTTATCCCCATTGTCAAAATTCAGTGGTAGGGAAACTTTTAAAATCGAAAATTTTGGTGATCTTTTTTCAAATCGGGAAATAAGGCAAATTTTTCTTTCCCGATCGGGAAGGCGGGATGAAAGGATAAAATCGGGAGAATCCCGCCTAAATCGGGAAAGTTGGCATGTATGTTAATTCCCAAATGAACAGAGAAGCCAACAATGGCTTTGACTGTCCAAGTGTTTTTACCTATTACAAATGTCAATGCTTTCAACACAGTTTGTCAGTATTATTAGTGTATTGCTGGATTCACTACTTCATATGCAAAGTAGTATTCATTTCATTGAAATCAAACCAAACTATATGCTAAATGTGGTGAAAAACATGAAAAAAGTTTGCACACTTGATCTAACAAAGTGACATACATGTACTGTTATTGGAATGATAGTAATCCTAACATCCTACTAACAAAAACATAGAACAATGACATCATTTGGATCCAAAACCCTAGCTACTACACAAACCAATAAACTAAACATTTGTCATTACTTGGAAATTTCAACAATTTGATGTATGAATGAAAAGTGAAGGTCAGATTCCATGAACTTTGCAGAATTTTTCGTCATTCCATTAGCACTGAGCTCCAATGTGAAATCACCCTACTCCCACATGAGTATAATAGCAGAGTGCATTTTTTGTGAAATACCTACAGGTCCAGGCAGCACACAAAATAAAACTTTCCCAATGGCACTAAGGCCAAAAGAAAATATATTCTTGTTTCCTGTCCCCTGACCAAAAAAATTAGGGTAGGTAGGTAGAAAAAGAATTTAGTTTTCAGAAAAAAATTTATTTTCAAAACTCAATGAATGCAGAGCATATAGTATGTAATAACAAGAAAATGATATGTTAACAGTTTACAGAGCAAGTTTGTTTAATGAAGATTTATAAAGTAAAGGTATCCTGTACACTTAATTGTGATGTGTTAGTTCCGTAAATATTGTTGGTCGACTTTAGTATTTTAGGAAAATAGTAACCAAAAAAATGAAAATGTAATAAAAACTTTTAGGGTTGGAGGGTAAAATGTAGGGTAGGTCGGGTGACAGGAAACAAGAGTATTTTTTATTTTGGCCTAATGTAATTAATATTCTGTTAGGGTCTCTTTTTCAGGACACAAGACCTGTATTGTACTTACTTGTCATCGTTTTTGAACATGAAGTGGTCATCGATGAGCTGTTGGTTTTCCTCGGGGGTCATGGTTTCTAGGGAGTAGTATTTTCCCTTCAGTTCTCCCTCGAGTTTATCAAGAGCTGCCTTTGTCTTCTCTTCCATATCTTTGCGTTGCTATAAAAAAACAAAATTACTGTACTGAACTTTTTGCAAGATTTTTCATTTTCATGCAGAATCAAAATTTTTTAATAAATATTCTTTTTTGCTTTTATCAATATTACATCTTTAATTCATAAAAATGCTCTTAAATAAAAGTCGTGAAATCTGATAACATTTTTCAGTTTGTAGATGACAATACAAGAATTTGAAAATACGCCATGAATTAGTTTTGAAAAACAGAGTGGTACAATTTCTTAGAATTTTGTTCTTGACTTGTATTGGTGAAAATTTAAGTAAAGCAGATTAATAGGAAAAGAACTCTTTGACTTTGTGTAAAAATCAATGTTTAGATGTCTTCCCTATATATACTTCTGTGACCAAGTTCAACCAAAACAAACCTCATCCGTGGAGACTGGGGGGAAGGGGTAGCCATCGTGGCTCCTGCCCACACGGACTCTGGTGGACACAATAAACTCTCCAGTGGGGTCAAGGGGGTCAAATCCCAGGTTGTCCTGGGGCCCAAAGTCACACTTAGGGTGGGCGACCTTGTCGACCTTGTGGTAATCACAGATAACGGGGTCAAAGAGTTCTTTGAAGGTCTCATAGGCCTCAGGGTCACAGGCGTACAGCCCCACCCCGGAGTTCAAGTTTAAGGCTCCTGAAATGAAATAAACAAAATGCATTGAATATTCATAAATTATAAAAAAGATAGTTAAGTAAGTCTTCAATTAGAGCTTGAGTGCGGTCAATACTGCTGCATGGGATTTTCTACCCAAAACGCAATCTGATAAAAGTTATCATCATGTTTATCTGCTGTGGACTCCCCATTGTATGTGAGTGCTTCATACTGCAAATTGACAACTGGTTGTCAAATCTAATAAAATGAATATGGATGGCTGTCAGATAAAGAGAGTTTACCCATTTTTCAGTTCTGAAGTAGAAAGTAAGTTTAATTTTGCAATTGGAGCTCCTCATGGGCACTGGTGTTGGTGTTGAAGGGGGGAGGGGCTCTAGTGGTTGTTTTGGGGGGTAGGAGACGTGTGGTGAAGGTGTGTGTGAGTACCGTAGTATGGGTTCTGGTGGTTGTGTTAAGGAGTAGTCTGGGTTCTGGTGGTTGTGGTAAGGAGTAGCCTGGGCTCTGGTGGCTGTGTTAAGGAGTAGTATAGGCTCTGTTGGTTGTGCTAAGGAGTAGGCTGGGCTCTGGTGGTTGTGGTAAGGAGTAGTATGGGCTCTGGTGGTTGTGCTAAGGAGTAGGCTGGGCTCTGGTGGTTGTGTTAAAGAGTAGGCTGGGCTCTGGTGGTGTTTTGGGGGTAAGAGATGTGTGGGAGAGAGCTGGGCTCAGGTGGTGGTGTTTTGGGGGTAGGAGACTTGTGAAGGTGTGGGGGAGGCTGGGCACTGGTGGTGATGGTGAAGGAGGACACATTCACAGACAATTATCTGTACGTTTGTTTTACCCCATCCCCCCTATAATGGTCCCAAATAATTCTGATGTATTCTTGTCATCCTTGCAATTTCACTACAATGTAGCTATCATTATTAATAATAAATATTCCCAGCACATTTTTTGGTAAATTAACCTACTTTCCTCATCTTTAACCTGAGTAGTTCTCATTTGCTGCAATTGCAGATACCATCTTTCCATCCTTGCAGTTTCACTAGGTATCATTAAAATAAATATTCTCAGCACATTTTTTGTTAAATTAACCTACTTTCCTCATCTTTAACCTGAGTAGTTCTCATTTGCTGCAATTGCAGATACCATCTTTCCACGTCAAGAGTTTATGTGGAGTGGAGTGAATCAGAATCTCTAGATCTTGACTTGGGAAGATGGCAGATATAGGAATCTGGAAAAGGTGGCCTGATCAATTAGGATCTCAAAGCAACACAAAAAAGAATTGATTTATCAAATCTATCCTCCCCCTTCCAAATCTGCCAGTGTTTCTGTAAAGTTGCTTTTACAATTCAATTTTTTTATTGATTCATTGGCATACAACCATGTTACATACTATGCATTTTCAGTTAATAACTTTTTTCATATATCTAAGTCCACAAATCTGCATTGATTTTCAGATTAAAAATTTATATTTCAGGGGTTAAAAAAATTGGCAGTTAGTCAATAGTTTGTCATGTATAACACTTGTTTCTCTGAATCAAAAGACCTGCTCAAGATTACTAATTAAAGCCATGTGTATATCAGTAAACTATGGGCTGGTGGTGGTAGAGGGGGGTGGGGGTGGGGGGGGGGGGGGGTATATCAGATGGGGGCATGAAAGATACATGTATGAAGAGAGATGTTGGTCCAATTCACATGAAACACCTTTATAAAATGATTTCAAGTGTAATAAATAGACCCCTCATTCTTGTTCCATTAGAGCTTAGACAGGTAAAGAGGTCTCATCACATTCTTGGATCATCTGTTTACCTGTTCAACAATCTACTTAGCTGTGCTGCCCCCAAACCCTCAAACAAGGTGCCCTTAGTGACCTGACCCACAGCAGGAAGTCTAGCGAGCTGATGGGCTTATTTGTGCAGTGCTCTCTACTTCCGCAGCATTATTAATAACACCTGCCAACCCAGGTAGCTGCCCAATAAACAGACAGCTCAGCCATTTATTTTCAATTACGCCAAATGAAAGCAAGTTCACCATCAGATATCTAAGGTATTATGAGTGGATCCATGATCCATCAATTTGATTAATCAGCAAAGTGACTTTGAGTTCATTAATATGTTAATGAAGATCGCATATTAAATGAAGGTTGTAATACTACAGATACATTACATGTTACAAGTTAAAATTTGGTTTTGAGTTCTCTGATTCAGAAATTATATCAAAATCTCATAGTGATCAATATATTGAGGATCTTTAAATCTAACTGATATTCATTAACATGATTAAGTTTAATTATCGATTCATTGAAATGTGTAAAAATTCTTCTGTCATATTGTTATTAAACAAGTTTAAAATAGAATCCCTCAAGGCATTTAAAAAAGTCCAGTGTTAAAAAAATTTCAACTTGGTCTTATCACCCCCCCCCCAAAAAAAAGGGAGAAAAAATCTAAGTTGTTTTAAGTTTATTTAAAAATCTTCTTTCATGGAAGAGGAGAAAATTATCAATAGGCTAATCACCTTGTTATTCAGAAACAGTCAGAAAACACTTGTATGTGTGTGTATACTCAGTACTTGTAAATGACCTTGAAATACCATTGATTTATACCATCGGCGAACACGGGCAGTCGTACCGTTCACACATATTTCGTTTTAATGGGCGTTCCTTGGGGGCGGATCTAGTAAATTTACCTGAAAAAAATATTTAGAAAATTTTTCGACTTTGCGCTAAATGGCAGATTACGAATTTAAACTGGTCGAAATGTGAAGTATTGGCTCAGCTTCAAATTGTTTAAACCCCTGCTATGAAATGTGACGTCACAAAGTTCCAAGACATATCAACTGGCATTGGCAAGGTCGAACAGGGCAAATGGAAAATCTATTAAACAAACACCTGTATTCGTCTACACGGGACAAATTTACGTCTAATTAACAAAATTTAAAATATATTAAATTAAATAATGAAAAACGAATCCATTCGAGGTCTTTCTCCGGGATGTTTCATTTTTTTTTCACGAACACTAAAAAGCCGGCTGCTGATTCCTACCTGAGCGAATGCAGTCTGCTAAAGTTCCACCGAGCTTAGTTTTCCTGCCTTTCGTTTCATTGTAGACCTTTTCCGTCAAATGTTTTTTAAGCAGTGATTTGCTTTCACCCTGAAGTTTCTTCCAAAGGTCTTCTAAATCGGACATTTTTTCTTGTGTGTTGCTTTTTCCACTGGAGCCGGCTGACTGTGAGGCTAAATCACTACAATATTTCTTGTACATTGCGCTAAGTTTTGTATGATCTCTCCGATTCGTTACCTAGGCACTGTCCGATTGTAACGAGCGATTTCATTGGCTAATCGAGCCAACGACTACTCCCTTCGTCTCTAACACAACTTGTCAATGCGCTATGTGTGTGTATATTCAATGTATTGATGGGAACTAATACACGTACGAGCCTCGCTTAGACAAATAATATGACTCAACTTATTTTTTCCCAGTAACATCTAAAGGTCATTTGCGGACACAGTGAAGGTCTACTTTCGATCGCTAGGATATTTTTACCTGAGATCTAACACGTGTATGCATGCAGATGCACATGCATGCGCAAAATTGTTAAAAGCATTTAGACATCGTGAAAAAGTGGCGTACTCACCTGAACGAATACAATCGGCTAGAGTACCCCCGAGATTAGTTTTTCTATCCTTCAATATTTTATATATTGCCGGGGTAAGATGTTTTTTCAGCAGTGATTTTGACTCCCCTTGTAAATTTTTCCACAGCTGTTCGAGTTCGGAGAGACCGTGCGGTTGGAACTTCTGTGTCGGTGGCTCGCGTTTATTGAAACTCTCGAGTTGCTCGATATAATGCTTATACATTGTCAATTTTGTGGTGGATGTGAGTCCAACAAAACTAAAAAAATTAACTGTTGCTAGGTGTAAAAATCTCTTCCGATCTAATCCTTTGATTATATGTAAAATGAATTCAATAAAACACAGTAACGGACGCCGGGCCTTTAACGGAGACGAGCTTAAACAAGTTAGCATTGATTTAAAAAGAAGTTCATTGATCTTTTTTAAATGTTTAGTGGAAGAAAAGGACCCAGTCCGCAGTGATTTGGTGTTGTGTCGTGCTTTAGTCCGTATACCTATGCATAACTGTGTCTGAGCTATAGATACTATAGTATATCATATTGCATAAATTCAATTCAACATATTAAATTCCATAACACAAAGTCATATTTCATGAGTAAACTCAAATATAATATATATTTTTAAAAGCAATTTTATCCCGACTTCGTGAATAAAACAGCAATTAAGTTAAGGCCAGATCGATGATACATGTGCAATTTAAGCCAAATAAATAAAAATGATATCCATGCAGATTGGTATAATTGTAATTTGATTGTAAAAAATGATGCACTATGATACAATCAAACTTCTACAACAGTCAAATATTGTACATTTGTAAACTGCTGTTAAAAATTCTTTCTCCAATCACTTAAGTTTAGATTTAAGGAATGCATTATTGTAAAACTTTGAATGATGCTTAGTATATTAAAATGTACCAGGTTAAACTTATTTTACTTTATATATACTGACCAAAGATGTTATTTTCATTTATTGTTCGTATCATCTCTTAGATCTGAGATGTAACATCAACTGATTCAATTCCTTGTACAAGTAATGAGTATACCATGTTTTTCAATTGTTTACAAAGAACCCTTTTACAAAATTTGCTTTCTTTGATTTTTTTAAAAATTAGATGAATAAGTCATCCAAAAGCTCGATTTTTTTTACCGAGCTATCAGATTTTTTTACAGTGTAGTACACATCTATATTCTATATCTGACACATTCAGGCTGTTTTTGTTCAATAATGATAATACAAAGGCGGTAGTAGATTAAAGAATCGATCGTATTTAAATTCTAACGTGTACGTCCATCAAGAGCTGTAAATATACCCTTGCATGGTGCAAATAAAAACAGTTGAGTCATCAGTTTTGTATTTTGCACGAATGCATGGTCAGTGCAGTTTAAAAATATTGCACTCAAAATAAGCAAACCCTTCAGTTTTTAACGTTTTGTGTGTGTGTGTCTCTCCGTGTGCCTTTTTTGGTCAGTTTCTTTCACAAAGCTGCTTAATGATAGCATGAAAACTTGAGACGGTCTTCAAGTTAGAGCAATAGCAGAAGATAATGCTGCATGGAGAGGGATGATGCAAATTTTGATGGAGGGGGCGGGGATATATAGTTTTACATGGGGGAGGGGAAAATTGCTGACTGCATGGGAGGCGGGGTAAGGTGTGCCCTGTGTTTGGCCTGTACACACAATAATCGATTTAATGGATTCTTTTCATTGTTTTAAAACAAGCTTTGAAGCTATGGAACAAATAAATGAGTTACAGGTAAATATCTGAACCGTAGAATCCCCTCTTATCTACCCCAGATCCGCTCCTCCTTTAATGTCAGACACACATACCCTCCCCATGCACACCCTGATTGGGCCCCCCTCATATCATAATATTTTCCCCGAATCAAGCCTTTTTATGACCATATATTGAATGACCGTTTTTAAAGCCTCTCCCCCTTTCCTATATATGCATGCACACGTGTAGAATCTTGCATATTTTTTTCCCTTACCTGACCGTATGCAGTCGGCAAGGGTTCCTCCTAGTTTGGTCTTCCGGTCCCTCACTAACTTGTACCGGTCCGGAGTCAGGTGCTTTTTCAGGAGGGATTTGCTTGCATTCCTCCTTAGGCGGGTGTAAAGATTGAGTAAATCAGACATTTTCGGACGCAGTGTCTTTTCTTTCCACGGCAAAGTGACCTCTAGAGATCTCTTGTAGGTAACCTATTCAACTTGTATATTTGACCAAGTTTAAATATATCGATCGTATATTAGGTCTGGCGAGTTGTTGGATTAAAAGTCTTTTCAATATATTCTAAGTACAGAGCATACATATATTTTGTAAAATTGTGTTTCTGCTGGTGGCGGATTTAAGGCACCACCAACTGAATATAATTTACATTTTTTCACCGGATAAAAAAAATCCATTTGTCTTCAACAAAGATGTTGAAAAGTTTAAAGCATTTGAACAAGTTTTCGTAGATCATTTTAAAATTAAAAGTTTTTGAGATATTAAAGTTTTGTTTTTTTTTCTTTTTTATTTTTAATGAAATAATTTTTTTTACCTTTGACTCTTCACTTCATTTCCGACCATGAACTTCGGTCAGGCTTTTTTAGTTATAAATAATATTTCTAACTCTTATTCTTTTTACCTTGTTTGAATATTTTTTCTTACTACATGTACAAAGGACCCCCCTCTCTCTCTCTCTTGCTCTCTCTCTCTCTCTATAGCTTATACATTTGTTATGAAGACAAGAGAGTGACTACCTCAACATGATGATGTCACTCAGACACAGGTAAATGCCGGAGGCGAATGCAGTTGATAACATGGTTTCCGGTTTTTAAGAAATGTCAAGCACTTGAAAGGATAGGTCAAACGACCGCAGACGACACACATACCATACAGGACTCAACTGTCTTAATAGTCAGAGAGGCGGATCAAACAAAAAAGTAAAAATTGTTCATGTACATGTATGAGCTATAATTAAAATGAAGACCAACATTACTTTGATTTTATATGATGTACAGGAGCTTGCTACCTTCACACAAGAAATATCAGGTATAAAATATATATTAAACAAACAAACAAAAATGGAGCACACCTGCATGTCTTTTGTTAGTGTGCTAAAGTAAACGTTTGTTTGTAACCTGGTATATTTCTTGTCTGAAAATGTCAAAATCTTTATTGAAAGAACTTTTAAAGGTACTTATATTTAAAGTTACTGTAGATTTTTTAACCCTAAGTCTTATTTTACATTTATACAATCCGAACGACAAGCTCTTTGCTTTCTTATATACGTAAGCGCCTTCTCCTGTCCCCGTATACATGTAGTTATTCCTGTCCCCATATACATGTAGTTATACACCTGTCACACTTATTTGGATTGAAACAGCATGTACTTGATGTAATAGCTATATCATTCACAAACTAAGCGAAGGTTTTATCTCAATAGTGTGTACAAATACTACAGAGGAATTTCATATCATTTGTGAATGGGCAAGATTTGAAATACTCCTGCAGTATTTCAAGTACAGGTTAATGATACTTCAAAGTTCAACATGTTTATCTAGCGTGCCCTTTGCTCCTAAACAGAGTCAGTCTCACCGTATCATACGTTAACGTTCCTAGTTTTATGTATTGCATGTATTTGTAGATGCAGGACCGACACCTCACCAGGACCCAAGACCATAAACTGAGAACAGACTAAAGACAAAATTTCAAATCAATACAACTTTTGAGATAAGTTTGAAAACAATGACCGTTTTTTAAGCTTTTGTTTTAATTGGGATATTATACATACAATCCTGCAAATTTTGGATGAAGTATATGTATTATAAATGATAAGCTATTCGAAATCAAAATTTTGACTTAAGTCTGTCCTCAGTTAATGGTCTCCAGGTCAGGTTTTTCGCCCGCGTGGCGCAGTGGTTAAAGCGTTTTTGCTCTAGAACCGTGAAGTAAGGAGTTGATCCTTACGCCGCGGGTTCGAATCCCATTGTGGAACGTGGAGACTGGTCCTTCAGATGAGACCGTATAAACCGAGGTCCTGTGTCGCAGTATCTTGCTGGCACGAAAAAAAAATCCCTCTCTGCTTTTGAAATGACCCTAAGTGCAGAGTATTGGACAAAATTTGCAGCTGTCCACTGGCAAGTCTCTATATATATATTATGTTTATTCACCAATCAAGGGCCCACGTGGGGCATGAACAATTATTACAAAATGATAACATTGATTACAATTCTATATTAAGGATAATGTAACATGACTTGTGATTAAGTTTGACATTGAGAAGTGCATCACCACACTGGATCAAAAGCATAGAAACCATAGAATGATAAAAGAAAACACAATTAAATAAAATTGATAGATATAAGGTAAATTAAAAAAAAAAAAAAAAAAAAAAAAAAAATCTTGTAGTAATGGCAGTACTCTAATATAAAACTAGTGCATCTTGAATACAAAGGGCACCAGGGGATGATACCTCTACACAGCCAGTCTGGCAAACCTGTACCCTAAGTATTGAAGATGGTCATTCAAAAAAAAAAAAAAATTATTTAAGTATTAACAGAAATAGTAATTTCAATTAATAAGTACTTAGCATATAATTAGAAACTTAATGCAAACTAATCTCTTGGAGTTAGTTCAATAGATATTTGACATATGCATACC